AATGAGCTTACCCAACTTCTCATGTGTCTTTTCATGACTTTTTTAAGTTCTTCAAAATTCAAGTTTTCCCCTCTTGAAAACGGTCAGGTAAGTTTTTCTCATTTTTATTACAGTAATACTAATAGGCCTATTATGTGTGTACCGGTATAATAGGCCTAACCAATACAGAAAAAAAAAAATAGTAGTTGCACACGTAGGCCTATTCTTTTTTCCATGAATCGATGAAACCCAAAAAGAAAGAGGGGTCGGGGTCCTCCCCGGGAAAATTCTTAGATGGCGTGAAATGAGCTTTCCCGACTTCTAACTTTGTAACACTGTAACAAAAGCAATTTAAGCTCACGGGTCCTGAAAAGGTAGGTCTATAATTTTTTTCAATTTGCCCAAAAAAGGGGGAAGGACCTCCTGACCCCCTCAGATCCTCTAATGGTGATATTTTTATACTGTATTCATAATTAAATACTGTATATACTGTCTCAATTCTTTGATTTATATTTATAATTAATTTTTGTATATACAGTACCGGTATTGTCTTTATTATTTAGAAATATTGTAAGGCTCACATACAATTTGGTTTTCGAGCCACGACCTGTGACCAATTTTTTATATTGATGTGTTTTTTTATAGGCCTATGCATAAAGTGAAATACGAATATTGAACTGTCAAAAACTTAATGTATGAGGCGGTACCATTCGTACCAGATCGTCCAAGTTGGTATCCGCGAAAGTGGTTCTTGTTGTTTCCGCTCGTTTCGCTGGAAGCCAAGCATTATCTTATTCGACTGGTTCATTTCGTTGAGTACGAATTTTCGTTATTATTTTCATTCGACTGGTTCGTAAAATAGACTTCGACAACGAAAATTAACGAAACCAAAATGCGTTAATCAGCATTAAATTATGCACGTGACCAAAAAAAAATTGCCGATTGGTCAGTTTAGCAACAACATTTGCGTTAATATAATTTAGATTAAATTTCAGAAAATAAAAATTATAATATTTACTTACAATGAAGTCAAAAAATAATTGTAGGCTAACAGAATTCAAAAACTGGATGAAAACATTTTTTTACGAAAAATATCGCGGTAACTATGCAGCCATTTTGTTTTGTCGAGTACAGTATTTATTAGTTTCTATTCGACTGGTCGTCTTCGCACAGCGCGCAGGTGGGCTTGGTTTAACGAAGAATGACCAGTCGAATACGGCCAATCATTGCGAGAGTGGGCTGAGGCTCTCATTTTCACTGTCAGTGGGCCGTGCACGAAGCGGATGTCATTCGTACTTCAAACCGTTTGAACAGCAACCTCAACAAACTTGAACATAATGAGCTATTTTATTGTTGAATTCATCATTCTTCTGCCGCAGATGCTGTGGGAATTTGTGCGATCTGGACTGAGGTTGGTATTACCAGTTTCATGGATTGCAAAGTCCGTGGTTGGTGAACGTGTGCTGATAACCGGCGCTGGTGGAGGCCTAGGGTATCAGATAGCTACAGAATTTGCCCGAAAAGGCGCCGAATTGGTGCTTTGGGATATAAATGATGAGCTTAATAGTAAAACAGCGGATGCTGTTGAAGAACTCGGAGCTAAAGTGACCACTTTTAAATGTGATATTTCAAAACGGGACGAGGTCTATTGCGTTGCAGAAAGAGTGAAGAAGGAAGTGGGGGAGATAGATATTCTGGTAAACAATGCAGGAATTGTGTCTGGAAAGCGATTAATGGACATTCCGGACGAAAGAATTATTAAAACTATGGAAATCAACAGCTTAGCTCACGTGTGGGTGAGTACAGTATAGTACTGTGGAATATTTGTAATTTTGAGCAGTGGGCAGGTTAATCCCAGGGGCAATGGTAGATCCCCAGGCTGGGGGAATTGGCGTATCCAGGGAGTTGTTGTAGTGATAACAACTCCCTGGCGTAATCTAAGAAGAGTCTTGATTGAAAGGGAGGGGGGCTGATGGGGTAAGGGACATTGTGGATTGCCACTCCTGCCACCCTGGATCGACCCTTCTGTTTTATGTTGAAATCATTTTTTTTCAGAAAAAAACTGTTTCTAAAATATAACTGAGCCAAATTAGGCACTCCAACAAGCCACAATTTCTCTTTTTAATGATTTTTTTACAGTAATTCATTTCTTTTCTTTTTATTTTAAGACTTTGAAAGCTTTCCTACCCCACATGATGGCAAAAAATCATGGGCACATCGTAACCATCGCAAGTATTGCCGGTAATTTTGGACTTGTTAGGCTGAGCGACTACTGCATGAGTAAGTTTGCAGCTCAAGGCTTTCACGAATCCATGGCTCTGGAGATGGTGGCTGAGGGCGCCACAGATGTGAAGTTCACGGTGGTCAATCCATACCTCATCACAACAGGAATGTTTGATGGTGTCAAAATAAAGTGCGTATCTTATAAGTTATAGATACAATAAAGTGTGGACGTTCATATCCAGGACATTTTGTAACCACAACATTTTTAGCAAGTTATGAAAAAGGAAAAAAAATGTCTATGAACAATTATGCTAATAATCTCTTAGGCACACACTTACATGTGAGTTTTCAAAAAGTGAAGTTTTTACATCTTTTACAATGTAGGCCTACTGCCTATGATGAGTTAGCATATGAAATACAATATTTTAATTACTTTTTTTGTTCAGTATATATTCAATATATATTATTAGCTTTCAATTAAAAAATAAGTTATTGTTCACCATTCGTTGTGAGAATATTAGGCTACAAGTGACTAGCGTACCTAGTATGTTATTTAGGGTTTCAGGTCACACAAAACTAACCTACTGTAGTCATCCTGAAGACCGAAACCAAAAACCAATAAAAAGCAAAAAATTACAATGACAAAAAAACTTCCTAATAATTCTGACAAAAAAACTTCCCAATAATTCTGACAAAAAAAATATGGATCGAATATTTATGTGTGTAGTACACCTTTATCTCGCTTGAGTACATTTTCAGATTTCTTTGTTATGTGTGTGATTTTCTTTCCAGATATCCATTCATAATTCCCAGCCTGGCTCCGGAACAGGTGGGAAGAAAAGTAGTGAATGCTGTGTTGACGAATCAAGAGGTAGTAGTGCTTCCATGGAGTATGAATTTGTTTGTTTATCTTAAAAGGTATGTTGGCCGATATTAATTGTATCTCTTATTTTATATAGACTGTGGGTTGAGGCTCCAAAATCGGCTTAGTTTACGAATTCTGTGACCCACCGATCCGCGCTACTTGGCATTCGCACAAAAATGTCAATACTATTTTATTGAAACATAATATAATTGTCGGCAATCGTAAATTTGGGGAAACTGTAACCAAAAATGAGAATATATCTTCAAAAAAATAATGTCGTTCAAGGAAGCAGTACCCAATCACAGCACACTTACCATACCTGTTAAGCATTGATGAGATGCTATTAGCCAATCACAAACGTTCTTGTAAACTCGGTAACTAATGTAAACAATGTCGCGAGGAAAGTGACAATGTGTAGCAATTTGGACGAAAGTTCTCCGGTTTTAGTGGAATATTTCAATATGATATAAGTATACCAGCCTTTAAATAAAATACATTGTAATAGTTGTAAGATTTTAGAGGTAGCAAATTGCATTTCCCGTCTTCTGTCGACTGTCATACCGTAGTTTTTTAAGCCAAAGTCGACCGTGCTGTACTGAATGTGTATTGTATTACTTATCGAGGCCTACATTATGCATAGTAGGAAGGGCAAGAAGTAATGTTCATCGACTTTGAATGAGACAGGAAATTCCTGTAAATATATAATATATTTTGATTCTATTTTGTTTTTTTTTGTTTTTTTTCTATAATTACATTTTAAAAGAAAACTGAGGCTGAATTACTTACTTAAAATAATTAAGAACACATTGAGGCTGATGTAAAATTTAAAATGTTTTTATTTGCATGCAATGTAAATAAATAACATTAATCAGTATTTCTTGCCATGCCTGTTGATTTTTGTTTAACTGCTTGAAGACCTTGATAATATGGACTGAATTAATGAATAAAAGTAAAGCAATTGATGATTCCAATAAGGTGAAACAAATAAATTTTTAATATACCTCAGTTCAGCCAGTTGCATCCACATCAGCACTTTCATTATCTCTCTGATCACTCACTGGGTATGTACATTTAACTACACAACAGTAAACACAAGGTTGAAAGAAGTTTATGACAAAAATCTGAACTTTTATATGAATATTATTGAAACACTGTAGCACATCATATACCTACACAGAACTGCTTTAAACATAGCTGAATATAGAGTTCAATCCAATCCACTTATAAACATGTGTTAAATATTACAATTATATAATATTATCAATGTAGCCAACCAGCATAAACAATTTAAAAGAAACTAGAAATAAGGAAAGTTTTGCTGTATTCATTATCATTTATCAGCAAGAACTGTTCTGTTATTAAATTTATGATGCTTTTCCAGTTGGTAAATAACTATTAAACTAGAAATATGTGTTTAATGTCTTTTGTTAATAAACTCCGTAAGCATCATAGTGAAACTTATACCCAATTTACATGGCTTCCTCCTCCCCCCCCCCCAACAATTTTCTAGAAGTACTTCAGGCAAAAAATAATCTCTTGAAATTGTTCCATCATTTGTCATTACGACAATGAATAAACAGTTAAGTCTCTTATATTGTATGTCATCAAATTTATTTCATGGATTTTTTTTCCAGCTTCATGCCTATTCAAGTTTTATTCATGATTTCCAAATTATTTGGAGTTCTGCACAGCATGGATGAATTTGTTGGCCGCAGCAAAAAGGATTAAATTTAGATTGTCAAGAAATTAAAAGAAGAACAAAAGCAGCATCTATTGATGATTAGAAATTTAATATTCTGTACAGGAAGAGGAAATAAATGAACATTTGCTTCTGCTGCGAAAATAATTGTGTACTGATTGTTGAATTGCATACTGAATAAAAAACTGCCAACTGATTAATTGTTACACAGGTTAAATAAGATCGGATGATAAAAACCAACAAATGGATTTGTCCTCTACTGTTCCATGAAACTTAACAAATAATTGCATACTAATTAAATTGCATACTAGATGAAATTAGATATTGGCTAAGGCTAGAGTCCTGCTACAGTGTCAAGCCTGGATTGACTCGGTCAAATTGATAAATTTGTAGTCAAGTAACCTCTGTTGACTTATGTCTGACATGAAATCACTCTCAACTTGGCAATGTACCCATATTCACCCTGTGTTTACATTAGTACCTTCTCAATCCAGCCAACCAATCACTAGCAACACAATGTTAAAGTATCAAGATTTCTGCTTGCTGAGTTACAGTGGTCAACTCACAATGTCCAAAGTGTGTGGCATACTGGAATGGTCCAAGAAGAACGTAAGCGAAAAATAAAATGTTTTGTCTAAATGTAAGATGCTCAGGGCGCTTGATATGTGGACTAGGAATTCGATCAATGACTTTCTTTGCAACTAAGGGTCCCTTTGTGTCTGTGCTATCCGGTAACCCGGTACCCCGGTACCAGCAACTCTCGTCGTCCACCACAGGTGCTGTCTGTTCCAATAATTATGGATTGTTTATAAAAGATTGTGCTAAAGTTTTATTTAAAAAATTCTTTGAAATTATTTATTTAATTCCTTAACCTTTTTTTGACCAAACAGTAATTAAAGTGTTAAAAATATGCAGACTATTAATATTATATTTGTAATTTCATGTTAAATTGAGCCTGGTAATTTTTTTATACACTGATATTTTAAAACTGTATATGTATTATTTAAAATGTAAAATATGTGCGATATCACTACAGGTATTTGTTTTACCTTGGCTAAATAAATTGCTTACAAGGTGGTATGCAACTGATTTGACTCCCTTTATATAGGAGTACAGTATTAATTGTAGGACATGGGCGGAGGCCCATGGCAGCAAATTATAAAATACTAAAAATGACCATTACGTTTTCATTGGAATAGGGATTTAGATTTTCTCATTTTCACAATGCCCAGGCCAAACCAGCTTGCGCCTCTGTAGGATGTGGCAATAAATCTTTACCCACATAGTGTCATAGATTTTTTTTTCACAAAAAGCAGTTGACTTGCTTATTTTTGTCAGAAATCATAAGCTTAAGTGTAGGCCTACTATTTTACTTTCTGAAAATTAGAAGCTACTTTGTGTTTACTTCTTTTTGTCAGAAATTGTAAGTATACTTTTTTGAAAGTGTTGTTTGTGTTTCTTACAAATAGTAGTAATCTACTTGGTTGCATTATTTACAACAGAAGTATTGTAAGCCACTTTCAACAATAGTAATATTTTCTGACAGAGAAGCAAGGACTCCTTTTGTCATTAAACTGACAAAAGGAAATGATCAATTTTAGACTGAAACTCAATGGATTTTCAACAACTTTTTTCCAAAGTTTTAGTTGTGAAATACTTCATACATTCAGATTTTGATTATGTGGCAGCACAACAGTAAATAGCGTGAAATGTTAATTATGTGGATTAAAGAAAGGTTTGCATGAACACCACAGGAAAAGAGATAATCAACAACAAGCTAGTAATTACTTTCATATATTATTTTGATCAGACAATAGTATACCTTGGCAATATTTCTTGAATGTTTGCATGGTGACTAAATATTAATAAAACAACTAAACTTCTGGAACACTATGTGTAAAAATATAGTGAGAAAATTCCACCAGTTTGTTGTTTAGGTGAAGCTGGAACAAAAGTTAACCAGCATTATATGTAACGTAAGTTAATGATTTCTCACTTCATCCAATGCCCCTTCATTCACAATTCATATTTAAGGTCAACCACCTTTTTCAACACTACTGATGACACAGGTAATCTCATCGAAATGCTGAGATGGGTCTTAAGCAGATGGGTCTTAAGTACGTTCATATTTTTACACGCTGCATACCAAAAACCTAATAATTATAATAATATATGCAATATTCAGAGCATGTTAATTGCAGCTCATTTTGAACTTCAAATAAAATACGTAGAATGACTGTAAGAATCAAACACATATGCTGGTACATAGCTGTACTGGGTAAAGATGCAATATAATTTAAGGTCTAAAAGATTACTATAGTAAGGGTACCAATCAAGAATAGCACTTTATTAATACAGTATTTTTTCCACTTTTCAAATAAAAAGGATAGTGAATGGAACATAGGAGCACTAGTTAATATACTAGAAAATTATTCTTTTGGGTAAAATCAGTATGCTTACTTTAAACAATAAGTTTACAATTTAAAAGTAGAGCATGCTGGTTTTTACCCAAAATAATATTTTTTCTATTTGAAAGGGAAAACCAGTTTTATCAACATACTAGGTAATAATATAATCATTATTAACACCAAAGAGTTATTGAATAGCAACATTATTGCCCAATACAGTCAAGCATCAGATGCTTTGTTAATTCATTGTATTGACTGAACTTAATATTTTGGTTGTCATGGAGGTATAGATAGGTCCATGTTACAGCTGATTATTAGCTAGTCTAGACTCATGCTTTCATCCTCATCTTTAGGTGGATCTACGCTGGACTCCTCAACTGCTACTTTAGACAATGCTTTTGCAAATGCTTCTAAATCTACGAAAAAAAAACAAAAAAAAAACAAGTATTATTAATATAATTTTTGAGTAATTAAATTAATATTGATATTAGTGATTAATGTGTCTATGTTTCTTTTCTGTGTAAATTAATTACATTATTATCATATCTATAACATAGTGTAAATTAATTACATTATTATCATATCTATCACATAGTGATAAATCCAGCAAAGATAATTTAATTATTTTTAGTCTTCAAGGTACAGAAAACAAACACATACTGTAAATTGGTAAAAATTCGAAACCAACACAAAATAAAATAGGACAAAAAGCGAAAAAAAATTACTGTCAGATGGCTCCTTGTGGTTGGAATAATACATGTAAACAATTAGGAATATTTTCAAAAATTAACCAGCGAATGAGGGGCACAAAAACACCATAGCCTTAAAGAGCCTAAATAATCAAGAAAGATAATTATAAATTGTATATAAATTAAAAGTCAGAGCCTTTCATGCTCTATTACTAAGTCTCCTCAGGAAAAAAAAAATGAGAGCAGGGTTGTGTATTTGTCAAAAAATATTTGCCAGTCATTGAAATGAAAGCATCATAGCCACTGAGCCATAACTAGCCTGCGTAGGCAAACAATTACATGTGTGTGTGTATAGATGACGTGTTTCTTCCATGCAATAATTACAAAAAAACACATCTATTTGAAGGCAAGAAAAACTTCCTTACCTCCAGCAGTTGCAGCCTCTGTGGCTTCCTTGCCAAGACCAAACTGGGCCATCAGTGGTCCAAGTTGCCCTGACTGAAATGCTGCTGAGAATACTCCAGCTGCCTACAAAAAAATTACCAAAAAACCTTTGTTCCTATTGCAATGAAGACTATAGATTTTTTTTAATACATTGATTCATAAATTCACTGTCAGCTGAAAATAATATTTTCAAATAAAAATATACTTTTCTTACCTGTTGAAACTGAGGAGACTGGATTGTGGTTGATATATCAGCAAAATCCCTTGCCAACAACGTACCCCCCTCTGGCAGAAATGGTTTCAACCGCTCTTGAACCTCCTCATTAGCTAGAATTGGTGCCATGCTTTCATGAGTTAGCACCTCAGAGAGATCAACTGAGTAAAAAAAACATAGAAAACATTATTCACTATCCTTTGATAAATAAATGCAACAAAATATAACTGCTTTGAATTTACTTTTAGAGACCTATCTTGATATATTATTTGAAACCCAGAATTTCATTGCCACTTCAAGACTTGGGTTACAACTGGGACAAATATATAGATTAAGGAGAGACTTTTTTTATACTTTGTTTCGCGAACTTATTTTTTTACACTTGCTATTAAGAACACAAAACCCTTTTTGCTTATAGAATTTTCTTGCACAGAAATCCCTGTAAAAATGTAACTTAAAATAAATACTATCCTCATTGATGATAAATGCACAAAAAAATGATGAAATCAATACGTACCAGATGAGGCCTGTTGCTGTTCAGGAACTAAAAAAGAAAAAAAAATAATGAATTATTACTGTTAAAATTTATTTATTATAGTATATGTATAACAAACATGTTCAACAAACAACTGAATTTTCAGGTAATTATATTCAGTCTTTTTGAATAGGGTCAATTTATTGCAAACCACCTAATTTTCAGTAATGTGTGTGTGCTGAACCATGATATCTTTAACCTTAGTCACTGGTTCAATTCCATTTGCCCAAGTTTCAGCTAGAGGGCTAAAATTCAAGTTTCAGTGAAGCACGGTCTACGTTGAGATGCTTAAGCTGTTGGTCCGATGTGCAATAGGCCTACGGACCACGTGCACATAATAAGAGAACACAGTACACTCTTCAGGAAAAAAGCAGGGGATTGTCTCCTGTTGTACTGCCAAATTCTTCATGGGTTATCCTTGGTGCATTTCACACCAAATGATCCGACAGTGGCGGATTCAGGAATTCGAAATACAGAGGCCCAGGGAGGGACTTTCACAGATGTAGGGTCTGGACCACCTCAGCCCCACAACAGTTGGGCTTTCGATAATAAAAATTTATGATTATGGCGACTGCAGATGGCCGGAAATGGCCCTCTCAAGACTTCAATTTGAATATAATTTTCTTTTTTCCCCATTTTAAGAATAATTTTTAAACATTTAGGGATGGAATCCTATCTAATCCAATAAAAATGACTTACTATTCATCGTACTCAGGATACTTTGAAGATCGGTTAACTGAATTGACTGTTGAGAAGATGAACTAGTTGTGTCAGGCCTAGCCCTGGATGATGATTGGCTAGGTGAAGCACTTGCAGGCACAGCTGGGGTGCTTGCTGGTGTTGTTGATGGGACACGAGCAGAGGGGCTGGAGTGCGAAAATTATGGTGTTTTTACATGCCTCAATTGTATAGCAATTTTTCAATTTCTTAAAGACTCTTAAAATTGTCTTTTACAATACAGTACACTTCTATACCTAAGGCTAGCCTTTTTTTATACCTTGTTTAGTGAACCTACCAACTGCAAATATTGATGATTTCAAATAAAAAAAAACTTTTATTTTTGACAAATTAGTGCCCCTGCTGCCACTGAAGAGTGAAAACTTCAGAAAAAAATAAAAGTTTATCCTTACTTTTATTACGCCCTCCGCTGCCTTGAAATCTCAAAAGATAAGATATGTATTTCTTCCTAATTGTACAAATTTGAAGCATTTAACCATCCTATTTTACATTCACCAATAAAATTTTATTTTCATTTTTTCCTGTGTCTGGATGATTTTGGCCAAACTATTTGCTAAATAAGAAAACTAAGTTTTACTTTTATTTTTATTCTGCCCTCCTCTGATATCTGATAGTCTTTAAAAAAATAAGTATGCGAAACAAGGAATAAAAAAGGTCTCGGCTAACCATTGTTTAAAGGCAGACTTCCACTGCAAGGACCAACAATAAATCATGCGAGTACTCTCTATAAGTACTTGCCGTAAGTAGTTCTAGTTTACCGATTGTCAGTTGGCAATCTCAGCAAATTGCGTCGGCCTTTGGCTACCACTGTCTGAGTCTGTCTTAATATGTCTATACACATTTTACTTAGCTGTCGCATGCTTGATTTCCTCTTAACTTTTTGTACATCCAACAAAAACAGAAATACTGCTTGAATGTTAAAACACTTACACTGACTGAGTAGTAGCTGGCCTAGCGGTACCAAGCATACTGCCAATACTACCTACATGAGAAAATAATTGTGTGAAAAGTGAGAAATACATTATAAAAGCTAAATTTCCTATATTAAAATATCATACAATAAATTGTTTCAATAACCATGGCAACTTTCTACATACTTTAAAGATGTATTGTCCCATGCAAAATAGCAAAAAGAATCATAAAAATAATTTTTGAAATTGTGGCAAAGACAAGCCAAACCAGTCACTCGTCGCAAATCGTGTTTCAGAGAAAATGGCCAAAACATGCTGGAATGTCAAATTAAAAAAAATCTATTTTATTGCACTAAACTAACCTTTATATATCTACACATCATTCTATGCTGTTGTTTTCCCCATTTTTGAATGTTAAAATACTTTTTAAGGATTTAAAGATAGTTTCTGCATGAGAAATGCCTGAAATCATAAACTTTGACAGCTAATTTCTCATATATTGTTCTTTAAACAGCTGTGTGGTTAAACGCTTGTAACTTCATAAGGAAATGTCCGATTTGAATGATTTTTTAAACATTTTATAGCTATTATTTTACTCTCTAACACTGTATTAATAAATCAAAATCGATTTTTTGCGACGAGTGACTGGTTTGGCTTGTCTTTGCCACAATTTACTTGCCCATTTTGAAGTAATATAAAGTATTATCAACTTGAACATAGAATTAGTGTATTTAAAAACTTTTTACCCATCAGTTTGCAGTGGAAAATGATAGAAACACTTCCAGTCACTGGAAGTGTTTTATTATTTTTATTATAATTTTATGGTTTCAAAATCAGGGTGTACATTTTTTAAATTTAATAATTTCTATGCTTAAGTTAATCATTTGTATGTTACTGCAAAATGAGCAAGTTAATTTCAAAAATTACTTTTTATGATTTGTTGACATTAGCAAGGGACAATACATCTTTAAATATTGATATTCAAAATATAAAACTATGGCAACTGTCATGCTACTTGATTGATTTGATCACAAAGTTATTCCATCCAGGGGTGCTAATGTGGCAAAAGTCACTTGTGGGAGATCTTGTTAAATGAGCTTCTTCATAAGCATCAGCACTAACTTCCATGAAACAATTGATAATAAAGTATTAAAACATGCAAATATTATGAATTTTTGGAAGATGAGAAGGGTTATTATTTGGGAGATTCTTGCGAAGTTTGGGAGGCTGTCCCGATTTTCATGGCTTGTCGCTTGCTCATGGATGACATGCAATAAAACAACTTGCCTCCACTGCCACCAGCAGATGACAACAACTGCAACAACTGCTGCTGATCCATGTTGGCTAGCAGATTCTGCAGACCACCATCAGCTGGAAAAAAGAAAACAACCTTATGGTATAAAATCATGAATAGTGAGCCCTCTACATTGAATTAATAGTGGGCCCTCTATAGTTTTTTGGATTGGAAACTTTAACTTTTTTTCTATAATTAATAAATAATTTTTAATCCAGTTTATTAAGATCATCTTGAATCTAATACTGTAATCAATATAGGTTTAGAATTCAGGTAACAAAAATCATGACATCAAATTATGATATTTTCAGTGAAATTAATTTCATTGCTTTGAGTGGAGCTGTAGGTCGGAGGTTAAGCTGAGTATGTATTCCATTATTTTATACTGTACAGTAGATGTTTGATCCAACGACTGAAGTAAAAATGTGGAGAGCATAGGAGAGCTGGAATTATGCGTTGTATATCTTACCTCCATGGGATCCACCAAGGGCAGCTGCCAATTCCGGAGGGATCCCACCTCCACTTCCTCCTCCTCCACCACCACCGGATGATCCAGGAGCAGGTGGATTGTTCAGCATCTCATTTACTTTACGGCAATTTTCTTCATCTTTGTCGGTCTTTGGTTCCTTTGATTCAAAGAATTGAATAATAATATACAAAAAAATTTGTATATCACTCAAAGAATATCACTTGAAAAAGCTATGTGCAAGGTTAGGCAAAAACAAAGATGCCTTTGAAGTCTAATGTGTTCCCCGCCACCAAATGCTCATCAGGCTTAGTTTACCACAAAATTGAACATGGCGAAATGCAGAGCACCTTCTTTGCTCACAACTTACAGTTAATCACTAAGGCTGCGCGATCTTTTCCACCTTGAAGCTAGTACATTTTTTATCTTTCAAGAAATACCAAACAAAATAATATTTTCTACAAAAAAGATTTTCAAAATTAATGAAACATTTGCACCAGCTTTAAAAGTATGGTATATTTCAACTTGAATTTCCATAGATAAAACTCAATAATTCTAATTTTAACAGATGTTAATTAAGGAATGATTGACAATTATAATAAACAATGTCATTTTCGGGTTAACAAATGTTAATTATTTGAAAATTCAATCTAAAATCAGAGTAATTTTCAGTTTTACGCTGCCTTAGCTTTATAGTCTAACCAATCGATCTTTAGACAAAATTATAATGAACACAGAATTAATTGTAGCAGAAATATTATGCGGAATATGTTCCTGAAACATACACTTAACATACTACTGTAAAAGTAAAAAAAAATTCAATTAGGGGAACATTGTTAATTATAAAGATATTTAATGAGTTAAAATCAAATGGGTTATCGCACAACTGCTGTGTTGAAGCGTATAAACGCATGTCGTGGCCAAGTTGTTGCTAACAAAAAATGTGAATAATAAGATAATACGCCTGCACATGATCTAAAGACGGGGAACACATTGGTTTGTCACGCCAAAGGGATCTGTTACCGAGTGATCTCCTTCTCAATACCTCCATGGTTTTACCAAGCTGAAAAATCCAATGCCAACATGCTTCTCAGTTAAACATCCTGAGTCATTCACTCATTACACAATGGAGATGTCACAGATTAGCGCCCTCAATATTGATTTTCACAGCTTGGTTAGATTTACTATTTCTTGCAGTAAAACTAACCGAATCAAAAAATCCAAGTGCAGACAGCGTTAAAATATTTACTAATTGGAATGTTACCTAAAATCTCCTCATTTTTAAGTCCAGTGCAATTGCGGCCTAAGTCGATCGGACTGCCACTTTCATTGTTTTATAGTTAAAAAAGAGCTTTGGCATCTAAATCTTATAAAAATTTTCCTACATAAACAACTCCACTATCTGCAAAATTAAATGGATTAATCAATATTAGTAAGCAATCTGGCACCAGTGCAGACTCTTACCTGTAACCAAAAGAAGAATTTTTTTCCAGTTTTGAACTTGAGGATGTAGACTCGTCCAGTTGTGCACTGATTAATTCTCTTAAATTCACAGTCATCTGGGAAAATGATAAGATCCTAGATAGAAAAAAAAAACAGAAGAAAACAAAGGTTGGTGAAAAAAAAAGAGCATAAGAGTACAGCATACAGTATATCATGATCTCCTAATCAAGTTCAGTTAAGTCATAATTCTTTATTGTGTTTCTATTTCTTATGCCAACTTATACATTTACCGTGGGACTCTCAGATAATTGATCATTTGCCAGCGAGTAATATACGGATAAACAAAACTCACAGAATTCAAGGTTAAAGACTTATAGGTACGAGCCAGCCAAAATTATGGGCATGAGACAATTCAGCACTGAACATCCTGTCACGGAAGTGAAATGTCCTGTCGGCCAAAAGACGTGTAGGTAAAAGTGCATTAACCCAATTCAGCCAAACATGTTTTTGTCAACAAAAGGCCTTAAGAAAATATTTATATAAAATGCTTTTTGATTGGTTAAGACGTTTTCTTCTGGTCAGTCAGGTAACTCAGGGGTCGAAGTAGTATACCATTTTGATTTTTTCCGAAATCTGTCAACATTATCAGCTTTTGCAAATTCCATTAAAATTTGTTGTTCTTTCCAGAGAATTGTGAGTAATATTTTTCAATTTGTTACTATTATAGGTAGTATATCTAAGAGTTAATTTGCCAAATATGAATGTAATACGAGGCGTAGCAATATTTTTTTTGCCATAGCAAAATCAAAGATCAGCTATGGATCGGCCGTCGTGTACACATTATCGCGAGGTAAACCATAACGATCTTAACGAAAGTTCTGCATATAAACGGCAATATTTTTGATGTAAATAAAATAAACATGTGTTTAAAAAGTTAACTAAATGATACTTAAAGATTAATTCTGGTAATATTTTTGTCATATATCTATATTTATGTATAGTTTTTATTATATTATAGTTTGTGAAATTTTATACACTAAATAAAGCCTGTCACAAATTGCGCCAACATTTTGTCAGACAATGCAATTACACTGAGAATGTGACAAGGCTTGCAAGCACAACAAGCCTTTTTTTATGACTTATCTTTTTATGTATTTATTTCTTTAAATTTATTTATTTATCTATTTTCATTTTTTTTTTAAGAATTATGGGTTATAAATTTTCGGGTCATTGTGTATTAAAGCCCCATTCCCGGAAAAATTTCAGTTTTTAAGAAAAATCTAATTGTTGTATAATGTTATAAAGATTTATAAATATAATACGGAATTGCTAGTTTAACTGAATTTAGACATTCCTAAGAATGAAAAAATGTAAAATAAGACTGAAATTTGATTTTTTTGTGTTCCACACAAAAAATAAATGTGGATGAATTTTTCATGTTTGATTTTGCGATAGCTCGTGAGAAGAAATATCGTAGGCGCCGAAAACATTAGCCTATCCAACGCTGCTAGGCTTGGCCTAGCCTTACCTCGATTTAGGTTCTGTTATCGAACATTAAAACAGCCGACATGATATTTTCCGTTGCTAGTATTGACACTTGTGAAATATAATATTTCATAGGAATTATTTCAAATTTGTTAAAAAACGGATTCTGACTGAGATTTTGACACTTAAACAAACATATCTCAGCCTTTACCAAATGACCGCCTTTGTGCGAGATGCAAAGTAAAAAAACTAATCTCATTAGAGAGGGCGCACTTTATTGACTGTATAAAGTGTACATAAAAGCAAGAGTATTCCCAGTGGATGCGATCTACAACCTCTGAATTTGCCTAGTAACGATGAATTCGTCGAGAAAATGGTAATATTTTATGAGAAATAGTCTGTATTTCTCTTTTTTTTTTTAATTCTTTTGCATAAAACAAAAATTCATGCCAATATTTTTCCATGATTTATAATAATTGGAGTAATGCAAATGCATATTTTCTAAAAAAAGTCAGTTTTTAGTGAAATTTTGCCGGGAATGGGGCTTTAAAGCTACATGACCAATATAATTTGCAGAAAAAATTTCCAATCAAAATGTACACTATTTTTTAGCATTTACAAAAAGTAACAGCAATATATGGCAAAAAGTGACAGAAATATTATTGTTAACATGCACCTTGCCCTTGCTATACACACTCGGAAACTTCAAATGTTTATAAAACCGTAACCAGTGGCTCAATTTCCCTCAAATAAAGTTTTTTATGATACTGAGAATGAATAGGCCTAGTTTTTTGTGCTATTTTTAGTGTTTTTTTTATATTCAATTTTGTATTTATCATGTGGTGCCTATCTGAATGAGGGCTTCCGTTGGACGAATTATTATCGGCTACAAATTTGTAAATATTAACAATTATTATTATTATCGGATTCTGTTTGTCGGTAGGCTAGGCCAAGGTACAGCAGGCCTAGGCTAGGCCTAGTCGCCTACCTAGCCTAGCAGTACCTACTGAGTAGGTCCTAGGCCTATATGTTGTTTCAATCGTAATTTACTCTTCTAGTTTACCTAAACTACTCCACAAATAACAATTAAGATCTAGGTCTATCTCTAGTTCTACTAGAAAGCTAGACCTAGGACCTCCTAGGTTGGCTAGTACTAGCCTGTCCCTGGACTGGTCTAGCCCTAGGCTAGCATCAACTCATCAAAGAAAGGCTGACTCACATCCTCGACACTGCCAGTTGACCGATCCTTCCAGCAGAAATGTATAAGAGCATCTTCCGAACGATAAATATAAACAAGCCCTTTTCGCTTATCTGGATTAACCATCTTGCCTTTCATGTACATTTTACCGGCCTTGAACTCGACCAGGTTTTTGCTTGAAGAACGCGTAGAAGCGCTACCAAAAAGTGCTCCGGACGCCATGATGATGATTTTTCAGATTTCTGAAAGATTGTGTGTAACCTTTGACCAAAGCCGCCCTTTGACCCATTATGATATGCAAATTATGATTTTTGTGTTTTTGATGATTTTGATGTATATTTATGGGACTACCATATATATTCATTGCCATTTGCTTTCATATGAAGATTTTCATTGTATGATGATCGTTTTTATAATATTTGTTAGACTTGGTTATTTTCGTAGGTCTATTGATGATTTGTATATGTTTATCATATTATAACGACCGTAATAAATAAATAAATAAATAATAATAATAAAAATAATAATAATAATAAAAACAACACAAACAAAACAAAATGTCCTGGTATTTTTTCTTGAATTTTACAGGTACAACAAAGAGAACGAATTTTCGAAATCATAATAATATAAAAACTCTATTGAAATTATAAAGGGCTCGTGTTTGACTACGTCTTCCTTTGTTTTTAAAACACTAATTAAATTGTAATCATAGTAAAAGTAATCATTCTTACAAACTACACTTTAAACATGTTAGCGAAATTCGTGTGTCTATATCCAAATTCAATGAAAAAGACCATGAGATGACAATGATTAAATTACAATATAGTATCTAGCCTGGGTTCCAGGCCCTAATTTTAGGTTACTCACTCTTTATTGCACTTAGTGCGCACCATAGCTAATTTAATTGGCGTCCCATACTCGATTTCTTTTTTTTTCTCCGTCTATCTCTAAATTAACTTTCTCGTTGGTGGCGCTGTCCAGAATGAGAAAAATTGGGATATCGTATGCATGACTGATTTTGTAAATCACGTGATTGGCTAACTTCATGCATATTAATCAATCTTCGTAAATTTTCAAAATTGAAGATGCGGATGTCTCGACTAGAACAAGCTCCAGCTCCCTTTTGGCTACCTCCTTGAATTAAAACAGTTAGTATAACAGTTCTGGCCTGCTGAGAACGACATGGACTGATAACCGTAGGCTATACTATGAACCTTGCTCACTGCTAGCTGCTACACAGATTTAGGCCTTTAGGGTAGAATATTGTTAAAAAGGTAGGCCTCTGTAAGTAAGAACTTAAAAATACGCCAAGCCTCTACTACGTACTAGTCTAGGCTAGGGCCTACTACTCCTGATCCATCCAGACGAGGCCTGAGCCATCTTCCTGGAAAGTTAAGGTTTTGTTGTATTTGTATGGTATGCCATCTAGTCTAAGCTTAATTGTTTTTGCCATTGCCAAAATTAGTCTTACTAGGGTCTATTCTAAATATTTTAGGCCCGTTTTATTAGGGAGGACTATTTAAATTTAGTCATGCCTAACTAGTCTACGCGAGTGACTCACTCACTCACTTTATTGAACAACGCTTTTTGATCAGCGGCAACACGTCATATGACGGTGCGTTCTATTAACTATATATAGACAACATACATAGTAATAACACTTAACTAAACAAAATGATAACAAAATATAATACAGTTTGAATACTTGAAAGTAGGAAAACTCAGTACTAAATTAAATAAGCAATTAGATTGATACTATCAATCCAGTTGCTCATTTAATTTTGTTTTTAGGCATGACAAAATTAATCTTAACTAACAATAATAATTACATACAGCATACAGAGCAAATTAATTTGATCTGTTCGAATATCTAAATAAATCCGTACAAAAGGTAAGAGTATGAAAAAAATACTGTAGGGGCGATAATTAATACAGTAAGAAGATACAGTATATATTTTTATAACAATAAAAATAAAAAATAAATAAAAATATTATATAGAGGGCGGTAATTCATTTAATAATTTAGTTCGATATTTCCATAAAGCAGTTAGGTACTGTTTACAGTGATAGTCAACAATTTTTCCAATGTTTTCATTGGGAAAGTTTCGTGGCTCCAAAAATATAAACATTTGATTGGTTGAAATTGTTTATTTCGGTCCGCCCATTTGTCCAAATACGGAACATAAGGATACGTCATTCTTTTGGCATCCTGGTGCCTGATTTCAGTGTTTTACAAGTCGCTTATTCCGTCTATCTCTAAATTAACTTTCTCGTTGGTGGCGCTGTCCAGAATGAGAAAAATTATAACAAATAAGAGACTTGTGGCAAGTCTATATAGTATCCAGCTCGGGTCTTCTTCAGCGTGTGTGACAAACGAAATATAAGTTGGCTTAAAAAAAAATGATTTAATATAAAGTATGATATGATTGGTCGAATATTTAAATAAAATATAATGTATGTGGTATAGGACAAAAATACTAATGAAATAAGTGAAGTGAGTAAAGGAACCGCTCCGAAAACTATATCCTAACATGAGGTACATTAAAAACATAAAATATACAACAGGCTCAGTAAAAACAAAGAGGCAGAAGAATAAAAATTTTATATAAAAATAGGAAAAAAAAGAAAGAAGAGAAATACAGGAATATATATAGGGGCCTATATATATATAACTGTATAAGTATAATTGACAATAATACATAGGCCCTAATACATACATAACACCGATAAACAATAATAGATGATGGCTAAAATAATAAATAGACAAAAAGCGCAAAATGGCCGGGGGAAATTTAAAAAAGGTAACTTAGTCACGATTAAATAATTTATAAATGCAAACAGATCTTACACCCCCAGGAGGGAAGATCCGGCTAGTAGCACATGCAGGTAAAATGCCAACATAAGGCGGGATGGTACCCTTCATTTTCCAGTCAATGCCAGAGAATGTTAGTTTCGAGCGGATGGGATGCATGTTCGAGCTAACGGGTTTCGTGCGCAGGGCGAATTCATCCAAAAAGAATGAGTTTAAAAAAAAAATATGCCAGGCCCAAAATGCACTGTGGTTTAATGTTTCGAAAGTTTTTGATACTTTTAATAATTATTCCATGTTTTAAATTAGTCTTGGTAAATCCGATCACCAGCTTTCGCCCATCTCCCATTAGATACAAATATTAGGTCAAATTTTCATTTCATTAGTTTGTGGCGTATCTGGTCACAAAAGCAAAACGCATTTGATACATTATCAAATGTGTTTAATAGGCCCCTCTAGACGCTCGGAAATGGCACTCAGATGGTAGTGCTCCTCGATAAAATTGTTGACTTCTTACCGACGGGAGCTATGCTCCCCCTCCCTTACACAGCCCCTCCCCTCACGGGCGTCGCAAGGTTCTGGCCGGATGGGCATCCATTACACTGGATAAATATGATATGTCCTACAGTAGATGTCAGGGACACATTATGCAGGCTGTTTGACGTTGGTTTAACATTGTGACAATGACACAAAGTAGCGGGCACTACAATAAATAGTGCCTTCTCAGTGCAAAATGGCCAATGTTACCCCACTTCCGAAGTAGACACCCTCTTCCATAGAAAAACTGCAGACCAATTTTCCTGAACTGCGGAAAAATTTGCATTAAAATGATGGAAAGTCCGCCCTCCCGGGAGCGGGGTAAAATTCGACCATTTGACCGAGTGGAGAAACTACAGGAAACAAACGAACCTGAATGGCGCCTTTATTATTGATATACAGCGCCGCCGCGCGGACAGGGTAAAATTGCTCTCCGTGTACCCACAATGCATTTCGAACAGATGTTCCACTCTATATTGGGAAGCTGCTCTATCTTCTATTTTTAATGTTGCATAAGCAGAGCCTCAAAGGATATTCAGTACATGTGCAAAATCTAAAACGTCCAAACTGTCGTAAAATAATTTTGGGTGTGTTTCAGGCCAGTTTATGCTAGATTTTAATTAAAATTTAACACAAATTTTCTCCAGGAACATTTAATAATGTAATCTTGAATTAACCATTTTTTCCAAGACATTTCATGTATTGGAAACGTTGGTATTGCGTTATCAATGGCGAAAGATAATGCACTGATGCACATGCACTGGGAATTGGTGTTTTAACTTTAACTTTGTAATATACAGTAATAATTATCACGATCGATCATGCCACTTATGATATTCAAAACCTTAAAAAAAAAAAGAAACCACCATACATTTATGAACAACATATTCGATTTTGATTGTCTAAAACATTTATTTCTTGTTGAAAGTACACAGCTTAACAAAATAAATTCACTGCCTTTTTGTGATAGTTTACAGATGTTTACACACATGGATTTCAATCATATTGCAATATACAAAATATAAAATTTTCTAAACCAAGGCTATTAACTTTCTTTAAAAAATTGAAATAAATAAATCAACATAACAGTTTAAAAAGAGTATACTGTATTATAGTAAATAAATCAAATTGATTAAAAGGTTTCTTTCAGAAAAGAATCTAGAAAAAGACAACTTATTTTTGAACAAATAACTTGGATATAAAGCCTGTGGAATCTGATAATCATATTAAAAAAAAAATTATAATATTTTTAATTTATACATGATAAACATGTAAATGGAGTAGGTCTATACTATCTCATCATAATACAGTATGTCAAAAAATAAGCCTGCATTTTCTCATATTGATAAACCGACTTTGATCGATCATCATTCTTTTAACATGAATAAATAAAGTGAAAGGGTATTAAGTAATATAAAATACCTTCAGTTGTCGTTCTCAAAAGTAAAAATAGTTTAGCTTCTTGCATCTAGCTCTTCGAGACTTAGTTTACAGTTCCCACAAAAATACAGAAACATTTATAGATACAATGAGATAAATTCTGAAGGCAGAATAATCTCCGGATGAGAAATTCTCCTTGGATCCCCAATACTGATGGAATTAACTAGTGAACAAAATTCTCAACATTGCAGAGTAACTTTACTGGTAAGGGGAATTTCCCTTGAATCCTGAACACCATCAAAATTTACTGGTGTCGAGGGAAATTCCTACAGGCTTCCATACACTGACAAATTTTACTAGGGATGGGGAATTATGATTGATGAACATTTGATGTTATCACTGATGAGCTGCTTCACTGGGGAAGGGGAATGCCCCTGGGGTCCCCAACACCAGCATCTGTCAGGTTCTTGATCAGCTGTGCCAGCCACCTTTTTGTAGAATTGTCATCTTTAAGTACCACAGCAAAAGTACTATCCTTTAGCTGGTCCGGTAGGCACTGCCGAAGGGCCTCGCGTGCTCTGAAATATTACAAAGGACAATTGTTAATCAAGTAACAATTATACAGTATTCTTAATATTAAATAATATAATGAGCTCTCTTGTGGATGTTTATATTTCAAAAGAGGATTAAATGTGGGTTCATAATAAAACATTATCTGAATACTCTTTAACACAATTTCTCTGGAAAGAAAAATATAGGTTCTTTTGTAAATATAGTATTGTCCTTGTAATGTAAGAGATATTGAACATGTTGAAATAGTAAATATGAACTAAAGAGCTAGGCACACACTGTGTTGATGATCGACATGATTCCATACAGAACACAACACGACAAGGCACACGCATCCACTCATACTGCCACTGACAATCAGCAGACAGGGTTGTGTTGTCGAGTGTTTGCAAAGACGGATTCATGGGCCGAATGGTTGTATGATGTAATGTGTGTCTGGCCTAACATTTAATAATTGAATTGCTTACTGTACTATGTATAATTAAACTGAAAATTACAACCAGAAAGAAATATTTTGGCTAATTAAAATATGTTAACAACAACACTGTAATAATACCATAAAACCTTGATTAGAAGCCTTGGGCTGCTTCTTTGTATTGAGAACTTTGGATGGGCTTCTTTTCGAGATGGACTTCTTTTCAAGGCTACTTTTGCAAAGATAAAGAAGGGGTTGGGGGGCTTCTTTTTGAATGCTTTAAATTTTGGGAATTACTACTATAAAACAATGTGTATCATGGAGTATATTAACTGGCATTATATCACCTATTTGTATGAACCAAGTGTGTTTTTTAATTGTTTATTTTGTTTCTTTGAAATTCATGTAGTGTTATGTACTATACTATCATGAGATAGCCTCTTTTCGAGGCTAAGTTTGCAAACTAAAGAAGGGGTTTCAAATTAGAGGCGGCTTCTTCTCGATATGAACCCCATTGGGCTTCTATTCAAAGTTTTATGGTATGCAATTATTATTATTATTAATAGCACCCTCTCTGTTTTGAGTGCCAAGGCCAACAAAGTTTGTAAGGTTTGCCATGAAAGAGTTTATAAAAGAATGTTATGATCTGCATTCATCTCTTCTTGGTCTCTTTAATATAATCATGGAGATATTATTGAAAAGGCGATCACTCGGAAAAGGCTCCACGCACACAGCGCTATGCAAATGGGCCAGGATCAAAGCTGCCGCAGCGTGTAAAGAACGTCTAATGTGTTCCCCGCCACCAGGAAAGAAATAGAACATGGCGGAATAGAGAGCACGGTGTTTTCTCAATACACACTACTTACAGTCAATCACTATGGATGCGCGGTTGTTTCCACCTTAAAGCTAATACATTTACCCCCTACTATTCTCGAATGATGTACTGGGTTCTTTAAAGTGCACACAAGCCAAATGCGTACACTGGGCCTACGGTTTAAAGTCCTCATCCGAGAAGACTTGTTCCACCACCAGAACCACTGGCGAGTGAGCTGTTTGAACCAGTGCCGATATTAGAGCTGAAGTTTACGGTGCCCCTGACTTAACCGCTCGGCCAATCAACTCACTAATAAACTGACTGACAGCTAATTAAAAGATTTGTCTATGTCTCTATGATCTTTTAAATTCAGCTATTTATTACTTTGATAAATGTTTGTTTGGGGCTTTTCATATGGTCAACTAAATAGTTTTAGTGTCTTGATGGCTGCAATAACACGAAAAAGACTAAGCATTGTACTGTATAAATACCTGGGGTTATCAGAGAGTCTAAGGTAGCATCTCACAACATGTTTTAAGAGTCTTGCTGACGGTTCCTTAGCAAGAGCTAGTACCATTTTGCCCTAAAATGAATTTAAAGAAACCTTTAAAATATATAAATAAGTGACACATATTTTTAAAAAAAATGTCAATGCAAGATAGAACAATCTCTGTGTATGTCTATTATATTAAGTGTCAATAGAATAGCAGGACTTTGAAGTCAAGTCAATTTATACACCAAGCTACAATACCACTAATGACAATAGTGCTTAAGATTTATAATTCAAAGATCAAAGGCACTTGTGTGTTACTACCTCTGGTCACTGGATAACATACAGTGGCAAACCAGCACAAAGTGCAATCCGGAACTATACCTAGTGCACGTGTACTCAGCACACGAAACTAGTAAATTCAATGCCACAACATCCTACCAGGTACCCATTTATGCTCCTGATAGATAGAGACAAACATTGATAAAGTGTCTTGCCCAAGGACATGAGTGACTTGCACTGCAAGATTTTTGAACCACTGAACGCAGATAGAGAGAGACAAACATTGATAGAGTGTCTTGCCCAAGGACATGAGCGACTTGCACTGCAAGATTTTTGAACCACTGAACGCAAGGTTGAAAGGCCAAACAACAATCACTGCGCCAACCACTTCCACGGCACGGTAAAATAAAATTATTATTAATAATAAGACAAATTAAATAGACTTACCAGAATCATAGCAACATGTGAGAAACGTTCGTAAGTTTGACAAATGTAAGATAAACCCGTCTCATCCAGAAGAATCTTCTGTAGAATAAATGTTGCAACCTAAAATATATTTGTACAAGAGCAATACAGTGAATCTTCCAACAGAACAACAAAATACTGTAGTCAAATTTTGATGCATAATTATTGTAAACAGTAAACATACAATATAATATGACTAGTACAGTATTTTAATAATGTTATTGGTGTGCATGTATCTTAGCCATTTCAAATATTTGTGATTGTACGCGGAAGTGTTAGAGATCGCATCAATTTTGGGAAGACTACCAGGGCTCGCAGGATAGTTTGTTCACTCAGTGGCGGATCTAGGAATTCAAAATAGAAAGGGGGGGGGGGGCAGGGAGGGACTTTCACAGATAAAAAATTTATGATTATAGCAATTCTAGATGACTGAAAATGGCACTCTCAGACTTACAATTTGAATGTATGTATGAATGTGTGTGTTTGTATGTTTTTTTTTCTCCAGTTTTAAAATAATAATAATCTGAAACATTTACAGGACTCGAGCTGACCACCCCTACCCTTGAATCTGGTACGGACACATTTCCATCACACATTGTCGAGTTTCACTGACACAAATATCGCTTTACAATGCTTCCTATGCTGTTGTTTAATAAATGAATATTCTACGTACTGTTTTTGATAGCTCACTTCCACTCTCCATGATTCTTAAACAAAGTGGAATAATTTCGGTTGTAAGTAGAAATGTTATCACCTCCTGTTCATCAGTCTGAAATAAAAATAAAGAAATCAAAGAAAAAAAAAATCAATATAATCAATACCAATATCCTTTTTATGATTCATTTTTAGCCAATCACTTGAGTGATTGCTTGTGAAGTTTGTGTTGGACAATTGAGAATAAAACATATCCTGACATTAATGCTCAGCTAAGAGGCACTTGGACTTACCTTTACCAATGCTCCTATGACCCCTAAGCTTGTCAAACGAAGGTATTCAAAAGGTCTTGTTTTGCTAACCGTGTGTAAAAATGGATAGAGAAATAATGGAATATGAGCTGAAAGAAAAGGCAAAAAAATGAAATAACCATTCCCTCAAGTATGTACACTTTATAAATATGTAAAAGTTTCAGTATTATTTACTTGTTGAAAAAGATCTTTTATTACATGTTTATAGGCAGTAAAGGATATGAAAATAATATGCAGTGCTTAAAAACATGGTAAATGTATGCATTTATGAAACTCCATATATTACCTTGTAAAAATGCTGACCTTGTCTCAGGATGGGATGCAACACATTGCAACAGAGCTAAAGCATTACAAACTCTGTTGGATTGGTGAGCCTAGGGTTGTACAAAGTAAAGAATATTTAGAAAACTACCAAGAATATATCTTGTAAAAAAAAATTGACAGATATTCATTGTCTCTGAACACCTCAATGATATGATTAACACCACAATCAATCAAACAATCAATCAATCAATCAATCGATCGATCAACACACCACAAACTTACAATTAAAATCACCATCACCTACCATTATTTACATCATCATCTAAACCACTAAATCATTATTTATCTAAATCTAAATTATTATTATCATCACCTTAATATCATACCATTATCACCTACCAACACCATTTTAAGCCCTGCCCACTCTCAAATTTTATTTGACAAAAACATGTGACATTCCTAAATATGGTCATGATGACATCACATCATGACCATATATAGGCACATCATGACTATATATGGACATACAATAGTTTATTGTCAAAGAAAATTTGATAGTGTAAACAAATCTTTATATTATGGTATACTTACTGACTAATAGCAAAGAACTTAAATAGCAGAAGAATGAGCTGTTCCGCGTATTTGCATGAAAATCGATGGAACATCTGCCCTCCTGCGGATGCAGTAAAATTTGAACATTTTACTAAGTGGAGAAACTACAGGACACAAACGAACCAGGGCGGCACCTTTATTATTACTATATAGCGCCGCCGCCGCCCGGATGCAGTAAAATTTTTCTCCGTGTACCCAAAATGCATTTCGACCGGATGTTCCACTATTATGGGAAGCTGCTCTATCTTCTGCTATTTATTATCTTTGCTAATAGGCATTGATCTAAAGGTTCAATTGTGTCTGCTATTGTTGTTTTGTTATGTACACCATTCACTTTCCTTCACCAAATAGCACAGGGTATTTGACACATTGGAGAAGGAATACAGAGAACATCATCAGCTTTACTTTATCATTATCATCGCACTATCATAACCATTACTATTATTATCACCTAAATATACCATCATATCATCAACAAAATGATCCCTACCTATCATTATTCTCAATACCAACCACCATAATGCACATCTCATTTTTACTTACTGTTAAGCTTGGAGGATTTATGAATGGATAAATATTGACAATTTCCTGCAGTAGAGCTGCAACTGTTCCAAATGAGTGCCACAACATAGGAGCTAAATCAGGAACAACTTCACGCTTTTTACTGCAAAAAAAATTAAAGAAATTAATCAACAAAATACTATTTTCACAGAGTCAATAAAATCTAATATTAGTTATAAACTATTTTGAAATCTAATTCAAAATAGGGCTCACTTTCTTGAAACACAGGTTAGGTGAGACCTAATAATAATATTATCTAGGCCTACACTTTGTATTTAGTGAATTATATTATATTTGAAAGATCCTACTAGGGGAAGGCAGGGAAATCATTTAGGAAAATGGTTCTGTTATTACATCTAGGCCAAGGTGAAGAAGAAAATTAAATATTATTGTCAAATAAGGAAATAAGAGTGTGTGTGGTAAAAAATTCATAGAGAATGTCCCAGTGACTTCCCGAAGCAATTTTAGCTGTCAATATTACCGGTTAGGTAATATTACTGATTAGGTCTACGTAGTCTAGGCTGGACTTTTTTCCAATAAATAACCATCATTCTACTCTATGCCATGGGCTATGACTGTATGTGCTTTTTTTTTTTAATTCATTAAACACTACTCAAAAGAGGTAACGCCTCATACTGCGTGCATAGCTGAATTTTTATAGACAAATTTGCCAGTAAAAATGTTTCAATTGGGAAAACACTGATGCCCTTAATAAGCCCTAACCAGAATATCAAAGTATTTCACAAAAACATGCCTAAATATGGTTACGATGACATTACATTATGACCTTATCATGACTATATATGCACATACAACACCTTTTTGTCAAAAGAAAATGTTATAATCTGGAGAGGGCTTTGGGCCCTAGCTCAAGATCCTATTGTGAATGTGATGATGCGATGTAATGTTTGTGGCAAATAGACAGTTTGTTATTAAGAAAGACCACAGAGAAATAAAGTAAATATCAGTCCAAGAAAATAATGTTTAATAACCATAGAAAAACAGACAAGATGTAAGAGATGACTTGGGATAAAGGATTGTTGTGTGCATAAGCTCCCCCAACCCCCGAATACAAAATTGTGCCAATTTTTTGGGGTGGGCTTATACCTGGGGAATAATCCCCTTTATCAAAAGGCAATTACAGTATGCCTCGTTCATAGTCAATAATTCATTTTTTTTTTCTGAGAATATTTGAAGTCACACAGAAAGACTGATACATAAAATTTGGCATAAAGGACTGTAGGGGGTGGACTGACACCCGAGGTAGGATTATAGCATGAGGAACTACAGGTATTTTAAATATTGCTGTTCCCTAACCAAAATGATACCCACCTTAATTCTAGTAGTGCATTTTCTCTTGTATCAGGGCTCGTTAGTTCCACTATCCATTGGTATATTTTCTCCCTATCGACTGGAGCTAACGTAGGTGGAGTGGTTGTACTTGGAATAGTTGTTGTACCAAGCCTCTGTAAAATATGGATAGTAAATCAATTTAAAAACAAACAAAAAATAAACCCATTTCAATAAATGAAGAAAAAAATCACAAGACATTTCTGTAATTTATAACAAATGTGTACATACAGTGTATCTCATGCCATTTTTAATAAAATAGAGTATGGTAGGCTGCTGCTGAAAGTATGTGTTGGGCTTACACAGAAACACCTACTGTACCAAGGTGGTGCTGGGGCTTACGCATATGCTTAAATATTATTAGTGACAGTCTACAACTGAAATAAAAATCATTAAGAGAGATCATGTACCGTAACATTTCACTTCCAAAATTTAAACCAATTTATGTAGTTGTAAGCAATAAAGAAACCTAAAAAAGATTTCATTATTAAATATTAGTAACATAGAGTAAAAGTAAAATTTGCATATAAATCGGCCCTCCTTTTCTGTGCAGATTGTATTTTGTGGAAAAACTCATCAGCACTTATTTTTTATATGCGGGGAGAGACTTATATAGGCCTAAAGTTTCCTGAGAGGGGAAATGCCATATTTTAGTTTACCAGTCTAGCCATGGAGCAATGTAATGGGAAGAGTAGCTATTGTTACACCAGTCTGATGGATGTTATTGTATTTGTACCAGGCTGGAAAGTAAGGCCTGCCTACGGAATATCTCTTTTGCACAAATTTGGCCTAGAAACAAGTCTGCACATTTTCGGAAATAAGGGTCGATTTCCGGGAAGATTTTGCTGAAAATTATGCTTTTACCTAATCCTGATAATTATAAACAATGTATGCAGTAATTATGATTCTGCGCACCTATTTCCCCCCCCCCCCCCCAGCAATTAAAAAAAAATTTACAATATGTTTTTTGTATGTATGAATGGATTAAATTAGGAAATTTAGAATTGGATGTAAAAAAAAAAGTCTGATTGTAAAAATAGCCACTGCTAATACAGTTTAATCATGCTCACGAAGTATGCTACACACTCTAGGCCTGGTCTACTCAGTCAGTAGTCTTGTTACTTTTGCTGATGAGTTGCTGGTATTGTTTCAAAGTCTTTTCAAACTGTGCGCACAGTATGCAAACTACGTACGGTTATCGTGAAATGTGACATTTACATTTACAGAGGTTATATTCAGTCTGGCATTATGGCTTGCACACTTTCCAAATTGTGTAAGAAATCTTTGCAGTTTTCACATTGTCCAATATTTCCTTGCATAGTTTGCAAACTGTGCAAGAAAGCGCTTGCACAATTTGCAAACTCTGCAAAGTGTTTAAAACAAACTGTGCATGACTGACAGTCTCTTATTATAGGTCTATGGTCTCACTCACTTTCTGAAAGATAATCATTAATCTAAGTTCAAAATTATTATTAGCTAGGCCTAGTAGGTAGGTATGTTACAAATTGTGACATCACACTTCCTAGTTTTGGTCAAGTATTCAAATAGTGGGTTTGCACAGCTGGGTAAGGGAGTTGGGCTTCCAAAAATCTTTAAAAATGCATTTTTTTTAATTGGATATTGCTGATGTCATACATCAATATGCAGATTAAAGGTCAATGAAAGGTTAAAAAATTTGTTTTGCTTTCATCCAATTACATGATTGTAATTCTGACAAAGTATGAAGAAATTTTATCATCAGAAAAGTGGTTTCTTTAGAAAAAGTTGCATATCCACTAGTGGGAGAGAAAAAGGCGGTGTGGACGTAAAGCGTGGTTGGGGATGAGGTATTTTGATTTGCATGTGGCAATTGTAAATAATGTAATGTACTAATAGTGTACTGTATCTTAAATACAGAGGGGTTAAGATAAATAGGGGGAGGCAGGATTTGAGGTCAGGGAGGGAGGGGATGAGAATAAGCTGAAGTGTAGTTTAGTGAGGTATTTATAGTAATTAAGTATAATAATAACAACTCATTCCTGTAGGCCTATGTAAATATTTTTTTAATTACTTTTCATTTGTACAGTACTTAATATATGCACCAGGGGCAGGGAAGGGGAAGTGATGTGTTGGGTGGTATGGGAGTGGTTCTAGTAGTAGGCCTAGTTAAGGGTTGTATTAAGTGCTAATGCTACACAAAACCTGTGAAGAAAATATTTTCAAAATGCGGCGTCAGATTTCTGGCCTTAATATTTTACGCGGGGAATATTTTACAGCCTGACACATCCTCATTTCATTTATTGCAAAATAAATAAAATTGCTTACCTCTCAATGAAAGACAAGCACTGGCGGCCTATAACTCTGAGCATGGACCGAGGGGACGAATGTCTTATAGAGAATCTCTGACACGGCGAAATTTTTGAGACAGGAAAATGATTCATTTATAGGCCCTAAACCCTCAATTTTTAACTCAGTTTTACGAGAATTTTATCTCCATCACTTAGAAGTAAATGATTTTCTAATTACTTTAACAACCTTACATCCCAATTTAACTACCCTTTCTTAGTCTGTGTAGATTGGCTTCCCCACACGCACAAATACGACGAACGAAATAGACAAGGCCTTTTTTGAAGTTGGCCTAATGGCTGCCAGCCATTAGGCCAACTTCAAACCTGCTGTTCATATGCATACTCAAAAGTAATTACTAGTCTTGAAGTCAACTATTAAAACTAATCAACTAATGGTTGTGCGCCCTAAGTCTTTAAAAATGTCTGGTATTTATAGACGGCTGATGGCTAACAGGTATGATATCGTGCGAAAATATGTACCTGCTGTAGGTCTAATGTGTACACATACGACAGATCTGGCTAAAATTTAACAATTAAGAATTTATTTTCAATCTTTACTACAGAAAATAGCAAATTTTATATTGTGTAGTCCTACATTTTTTTCTTTTAAACCGTCAGTAAATCGCGGGAGTGTTGGCGACTCAAAGTTGATGCACGCAGTGCGGCGTGTAACCCTGGCTTAGCCGGTTTCTGTTTGATATCTCTTTGTGCGCCAACAATTTGTTAATAAAATATGCTGCGTATTGTCAAGAGTCGGACTTTTTATAAGTACTGTAAAAGCATTATGCATTATATGGTGAAGTAGCCTATTCTAAAAGTGCTTGTCCACAGGCAAAATCATGGTCACGTAGTTAAAAATCACCATATTTTGCGAATTAGCGCCCTCTACTGATCATCAAGCCCCCCCACTTCACCTTCGCGCCCCCATCAGCCCCCCCATTTCAATACTTCTAGATATGCCACTTGATTCAACCACTCACAAAGTACCTTTTTCAACAAGTAAGCCTGCAAATAAGTACAGTGAATCTGTGCTCGCTAGCACGATGAGCGGCTGCCATTTTGCATTCAGTATTAAGAAATTGCCACAATGTCTGAGTTTACAGTGCAAAGTTTTTCGATTAAACGTTTATGGAAACTTACTTATTTGCGTACGTATGTCATTTCAGTTATGCGTTATATTGTATGGTGTGTTGTTTGATTATGATGTGTGTTCACATGAAATTCACATGTACAGTACAAGAATTAGTCAGATTTCATGCAAAATTTCCAAAATATAGAATTTCACTTTCAAGAATGAGGATTTGAAAATAAATTAGATGGTTACATTGCATACTCTTTGTTTCTTGCTTTATTCAAAATGTTTTGGTTTTGGGAGCTGATTTCAACATTACAAAGCATAGCCTACATGAAGTCATAGTATAGTAACTCGATGCCTATCAAATAATTAAGTAATAAAAATTCGCCATAATTCATTATTTAAATATTTGTGGTTTCCGGGGGACGTCGCCCGGTCCCCCTGGCCCCCAGCCAATTGAGACTCGATTCGCTCCACTAGAAAAAACATACGTCTTACATATTGATGTCTTATAAATTTCCTTTCAAGAATTTAGCAAAGTGAGGCTAGTACAGTATATCTGTCTCTTATACACATCTAGATGTGTATAAGAGACAGCCAACAAGGAGGCTGAGTTCCCCAACGACAGCAAAGTGGGCTTAGACGAGAGTCGCTTAAAATGTTCCAGAAGTGGTACAGGGGAAAGCGAAGCCGACGAAAATTTTGACAATTTAGGGGTTTCAAAGGCTCATTTAATCGATTTTAGTGTCTACTAATATTAAATAGCATATAACTTTTTCCCCCGACGAATTGTGGTTTTTCTCCCCAACGGCGCAGTGGGGGGGGGGACCCCTGGCTCCTGCAGCCGCCACCCCTGAATGCTAGACTTCGGTTTCGATTAACCTTGATTACAACATGAAAGTTCAAAAAGATGGTACCATGTAATGATGCCACATTTTGTTGACAGATGTTTCATGGGAAAACTATAAGACTGGCCTTTTGTTTCAAAATTTAAAAATTGACTTGGACACCATGGCAATTTCTTACTTGCAAAGCAGGAAAATAGTATGTAGGCCTACTGTCCTACAGCTTGTCGTGCTAGCAAGCGCAGAAACGCTGTATCAACCTCTCTCTATTCCTATATAAATTTATAAAGGTATCTTTTTTTGTTGAAAAAATGTACTTTGTGATGAGATGAGTGGTTGAATCATGTATGTAAAATTTAAAAATGTTTTTAATATTTTATAATTATATGTGTTGTGACTGTGAGAACATTGAGGTAAAAAAAAATAAGAATTAAAAGTTAGGTGCGAAAGTTCATTAGCGCCGGACTTGCCTGCCTAGAGTACTGGTAGGCCTAGCCTAGAGTAGCGGGGTTGTCCAGGTCCGAGCGAGGGAACCCAGTCTCTACGCTAGGCCTAGAGGCCTAGCTAGCTAGACTCGAGGTTAGTTAGGCCCACCTACTACTAGGTAACTAACAGTAACACGAAATCATGTTTATTTCTGGTTAAATAGTTACCAAAATCAGATTTGTATTAACTATCAGAAATATATGACATACATATTACCTGTTGCACGCTTAACGAGTGCATTGTTTCATGTAAAATTAGCTGACTTGTACTTCTAGGCCTATGTTTATTCGAGGTCAAACTAAACCGAAAAAATACGAAAGATTTTACCAACCCGTTCGTTCTCTGGTTGGTTGGTTCGAAAGGTCATAAAGCATAGGCCTAGCCTACACAATAATTATACTATAATTTTAATTCTATATTATATATTTATCATTATAATAATAACTTAATTGGTATAAAAAATATTTGACTTTTAATTAATTAAAGTAAATGTTGATCAATATTTTAAAATTTATTCTCAAATAAGACTTAAAAAGAAGGTCAATACAATATGCTTAAATTCTGTTTATAAACATTTCGTCATTGAGGAATTTCCAGTAGAGGTATTCTTTTTGTTATCATCATCAATGTAGAAGACAGTAAGTTTTGTTTTACTGTAGTATTTATGAGGAAATAGGGAGAAAGACGTAATGTGTGAGGATGGGTTGTGTAATAACAGGAAATCTCTCCGAATATCCATGACCTTGAATTACTTTTGTTCATACAATGAACATTAGGTTCAACAACAATGGTTGAAGATGGTGGGCGCTAGGCTATGAATGATGAGACTGGTATTGGTTAGGTAAAGGCTTTTGATCGAGTCTTCCTACCTACCACCCAACCCTAGGCCTAGTAGTACCACCATCAGATATATATTTATATTTATTCAGTATATGATTATTAATTAATATAGTAATAAATATTATTATATTTATATTTACTTACATTTAAAATTTTGGATAAAAAGATATTAGGATACTTTCTTTATTTATTTTATACAAATTCCGAAAACAAAGAGAAAGGAGCGGAGAAAAGAAGACCCATCTAGTATGAGCTGATTGAGATAGGTTCTTCTAACAGAACAAATAAATCTTGAGTAAAAATATTAAAATATATTATTAACATACAAAAAACACTAATGCACTCCCACACTGTAATGTATTTTTGTTTACACGGAGAATATCTTGAAACCAACTCAAATTTGTGTGAAAAATCACTAGGAAAATAGGTGAGCGGAATCGTATTTACTGCTAGACATTGTTTGTTGAAAGGTAGACGAATGCCTAATTTTTGGCAACAATTGCGTGGAAATCGGCCCTTATTTTCCGAAATGCGCGGACGAATTCAATGCCTAACTTTTTTTTGACAGGAAATATATTTCCCGCACAAGCATTGCTTTACAGTCTGGATGCAATCAAGTGAAATAAAAAAGTAAAAACCAAGTTATACTTTTCCAGGTGGCTCACAATGCTCAAAGAGTGGATTAGGCCTAGATTGTACAGTAAGCTCCTTCTCCCCAAAGGGTGTCCTCATGCCTGAGCCACCCAGTACACCGGTGCCAGCTGCTTTCGTCTGTCCACAACGTTTTTGTGGGGAGATTGTTAATAGTACAGTATATAGATTTATATAGCGCAAAATAAACAAAGTCTGTTATCGTTCAACAATAGAGTACCACAGTTGTGTCATCACAACGCCAGTTAGCGCCCTCTGTTGCCAATCAGACGTTGGTTACCGTTCATACACCTGAATGACTTCATAGGCTTTCTGGAATAGGCATTTTGAAATCTAATATTTTACCATCAAAATGTACTAAAAAATGCAAAAGCTCGCATTATATTAGTTTTCGAAAACACATTTAGTCATCAATTAAAATTTACAATAAGAAAAACTAAGATACAACATCTTAATAATTACGTTAGAAATTTGGATCAATGGTTTGTTAGTGGAGAAAATGGCATCCCGTTGAACGCATTTTGCAACGATAGCAACGGAGTAGTATCACATGGTATCGTAATGTAACACTGTAATTCTCTTTGGTAATAAGTCGGAGAGTGCCATTTCTGGCCATCTAGAGCTGCCATAATCACAAATTTTCTTAGCTCAACGGCCCAGAATAAAAACTCCTTGTAGTGTCCAAAATGTGCTTTTAGACTACAATATTAGGGATTGGTAGTCAAAATAAAGTTATTTAGATAGGCAAATTATTTTTTTTTTCATTTTTGATCGACGACCTAGTTGTGCGTTGGACGACAAGAGGTCCAGGAGGCCTGTCGGTGGGGGGGGGGAAGATGCAACCCCCCACCCACCCCGCCATCTGTCAAAGCACCCC